CTTTCGCACGTTCGAAAAAAAATAGGTAAGAAAAATGATGTCAAAAGGTTTCGGGGAAGTTACCCAGGGTCAAAATCTCATCCATGTCGTAGTTTAGGATCGATTCGTTCGGAGCTATTCCCGCGCAAAGAATACATTTCAATTTTATCATTTCATGTATTCTAGAAAATATAATGATTTCTAGTTCGCCAACTTACACATACTTGATCATATTTGTTTTCATATTCACAATATGTTTATATAACATAGAATTATACACACGTACATAATAACTTTTTAATTTTCTTCGTTTATGGAACAAAATTTCACAGTAAATTACACTGAGTATAAACGACAAAATAGGGTAGAATAGAGAGTCTTTTGTATTCATTATGAAATACTAACAATGAATCTTCTTTGCATCAGTAACTTATACAAGTATTTTTTAATAGATCTTACAAGATCGATCAAAACATCTTCAATTGCTCTTTATACATTTTTTTTTTATAACCAACTAGTTTGTCATTATTAGCACTACACAAACACCTGATTCTGATTGAACTTTTACATATAATTGAACGTTCCAATAATTTAAACGATGTGTACAAATACAACTAGAGTTTTTTTTAGTATGCCGTTCGATGCATGTATTCAGAATGTCAATATTTACTCATCTGTTTAATACAAGAATATTGAACACGGAAATTTCTTTTTTTTACTTGTGTTAATTAATACAAATTAAACCTTTCCCGTGAAAAGTCATCATCTTTTTCTTGAATTGAAAAATCAGATCTAATGAAGAATAACTATCAGAGATGATTGTATAGACAATCAAAAAAATTCATTTTTTTAGATCAAACTGACTTCCGTTTATATCGGTGACAGTAATGATGATTTAAGAAATAGTGCGAGACAAGTGTGAAATTCGTTGATCATCCTTTTTCTATAATGGTGATCTATCTCAAATTTATATTCATATCTATTACACTACACGTATGATTGACATTTTAATACTTCATTTGTGTTTATCAATGATAATAATAGACATTGTTCACAAAGAAGAAGGAGAAGAAATAATAATAATAATAATCGGATGAACTACCACAAATCGATATGCTTCATTTATGATTAGTAGTAATTTAACTAGAAGAAAAGAAAATGTAAGAGCCTTTTGAGGTTAATGTGGTCAATAAGAGTTAGTTCCTCATTATTATTCAATGATAATAATCATACATTAGAGAATTTTTATGAATTCTTATTCTAAATATGGTTAAAATGATAATTTTGTGTTTCATAAAGAAGATGGATATGATATATATGTACATATACATACAGAAAAATATTTTAAGTTTAAAAAATAGAAAAAAAACAGAATAGTTTTATTTCAGTGGTAGTAAATGATATGTTTTGTTTTATTTTCGTTATAGTAACGCCTATTGTAATTGTTAAATAATCTGTTTTAAAAATATCATCTACCAGATTGCAAAGAGAATTTATTCTTAGAATTTATGCTTATCTTTTATTCTAGTTATATTATTTCCAACCAATGTTTTATTATCCAGTGTATTAAGTACACGAACAATAACGGAGAAAGAAGGTCATGAAGTTGTATTATCATGTCGTTTCGATCAATTATCCGATAAAGATCGTGTTATGTGGTCAAAAGATGGTATTGTCTTGTCTGTTAATACCGAAATAAAAGCGGATAAACAACGATATGAAATATCTGGAAAATATGATTTAATTATTAACAATATAACCGATAATGATAGTGGAAAATATTTATGTCAAAATTTTGATCAAGAATTATCAATGATAATAATATTAACCGTTTTAAGTAAGTTTGATTGTGTGTATGTTTTTTTTAATCTCTATTTGAGATTTATTTTATCTTCAAAATCTTTCTTTCTAGCTGTTGTCTTTCAAAAAAAACAAAAAATTTAAAATCTTTCTTTTGTTCTAAGTTACTCTTTCTCTATTTGCCATAGAATAATTGAAAATTATATTTGGTTGTTTTAATTAGACTAGTAACAATTGTTAACCGTTTTTAACAAGCTTGTTTAAAGGATGATCATTGAGTGCTAATCCTTAGTTAAACGTCTTTTCGTTTGAACATATTACAAGTTTCATTTTTTCAAACTTCTTACAAAGAGAGAGAGAAAGAGAGATCAGACAAGAAGTGTGTGCTTGTTCAAGGATGGTAACATGATGCCAAGTAAATACATTTTTTTTTCGATTAGTGCATATGGTCAACTCTCACGCTTTTCTTCAGACTCATTCAGGAATTGGAACTTGCTTGATACCAATAATAAAAGACACCACATAAGTGTACTTATTTTCAACTTCTTCAGCAATGCAGTGACAAATATACTTGGCTATTACTATTATTTTTATTATTATTATTATTATTATTGTTATCGATATATACATTATGGAAAGAAAAGAGCAAAAAGTGAACATTATTGGCATAAATGACCTTGTAATATGTTCAAGAATAAGTTGTTGTTGAAGCCTCACGATATTCACCATTGTTATTTTGCTTGTTCTTAAAAACATAATTGAGAATATACATTGATGTATATAGACTACTACTAGATTGATGTTTATAATATGAAAGAAATTTATATGTATGAGAAGTGTCTCTTTGTCTGTGAGAGAAAGAACGTGAGTCTCCTATGAATAAAAGTGAGGAAGAACTGATATTTATTATACAAATTTCAAGCAGAAGTTCTTACTTTTAATACCGATATATTGAAAACCGAATAGTGATTGTTAGATTGTAAGTGCTTTGTGATCGTATCATCTATGATCATGGCACAGAGCATACTTTGAACAAATTACTGATGTAGCGCATGAGATTTTTAGTGAATATGTTTTTGTTAACTTCTCTTGTCTAGTTAGTCATCAAATGACACTACTTGCTCTAATATCGTTAAAATTTTCATACCTCTAACAGAAGAAAAAATATCACTTGTAATCATGTTGCGAATGACGAGACACATTTGCATCCGTAACGAATTCCTGCATAGTTGTGACTGAATAAGAATAAGAGAAAATAAAACTGAAACAAAGATTAAAGTACCGAAACTTCCACTATTATAGTACATATATATTTGCGTGAAGACAATATCCGGTCCGAAGGTGCCGCCGCTACGTATATTAAATTTTTTAACCCCATTTCCTTTGTGTTAGAATAGAATAAATAATGATAAATTCCATTTTAAGAAGGAAAAGAAAAAGAAAACTTTTGTTCCGGACATACTAGAATCGTTGATCACAAGAAAATTCATTTTAATTTTTGACAGCGACAAACAATTAGAAATTACTCATACTAAACAGCTGCTCTCTATAGCAGATATACATATACACACATACACACACACATCATGTTTTCTTTTTGGCCTTGGGGGTTGATTCAATGATGATGATGACCACTGGTAAAGAAGGTCAAAAATAATTAGTTCTTGACGGATAGATAGAACAGAGATAAATGTATACATAAATTAAGTATCTGTAAAAAAATTTCCTGATTGATTAAAAATTATTATCAAGAACTCTAAAGGTCAATAACATGTTTCTCCTGGCTAACTATGCTCTCATATTTAAATAACTGACTATAGGATATGATCTGTTTTACCAAAACAACATATCTTAGTTGATTAACACGATAGATTATGTATATTGTTCATCATATAAGAAAAGACATGTAAATAAATACAGACTACATTTGTCTTAATGTATAGACTATCGACTCTAGGTGTGATCTGTTGTGTGGAATTGGCAGCTTTTCATATTACTTTTCTTGTTAACATAAATCCAAGAAGTCACTTATTTGAAACTCCAAAAGTTTCAATTATATTTATTTGATCTTAAATTTAGCATTTCTTTACCGAATGAGCTGAATGGCAGCATTATCTGTTTTTGTACATACTGCATAGTGTACATTGTCTTATACGTACGTAGAGACAATTCTTTACAGTTTCTTTTATTATTTGAACTAGCCGTTAAAATAATAAATATCTGAACTTAGACAAAGAAGAGCACAAGTGACCGATTAGAATAATAAGGATCATGTAAGAATATATTCAATGATATTTATAGCTTCCATCTGAAAAACTTTATTATTGTTTTTATCTTTATCTTTTTTTTCGCTTAGTATTTTATTATCGTTAACGTAGATGTATCGTGTGTCAGATAATAATAATAAGGAACTTTTTTTTAGAAGTGAGAACAATAATGACGGTAATAATATTTATTCTCTTCTTCTAAACGTAAATCTTATCTTCATTAAAATAATGATCAATCGCAATATACATTTATTTATGTTGTTTTTCTTATGTTTATTAAATAAAAATGTGTAGCACTAATAAACGACACTATGTCTAAACCGGTTCAGCAAGTTCAATCGAATATCTACTGTTGTTGTTCTCTATATTTATCCTGTATTAATCAAATTTTTCAATCATGTTCAACATAATTCATCATTGCTACATGCATCTTAGCGTGAGAGATAATGTAGTTATCTATCTAAAACACAATTCTATCTCATCTTTTTTAGTACTAGTAAGAAACAACTATTATTTATAATTTTAGCTCGACCATCGGAACCCGAACTTCATCAAACAAATGAAACACTTACGGAAAAAGCCATCGTTCAATTTGTTTGTTCGGTGTTAGGTGGTAATCCTTCTCCAACGTTTTCGTGGTATCTAAATCATAATATTATTAATGAGTAAGAAACATGTGACTCTGTTTTGTTTTGATGTCATATTTCTAAGAAATTTGTTTTTAGAAGTTTATATACAACATATCCAAATAAAAAACAATCGTTTGGTGAACTACGATTACCCATCGAACGACGTTATCATGGAGCTCAACTATCGTGTCAAATTGATAATAAAGCCTTAGATAAACCATTAACAATATCAACAAAATTAAATGTTCAATGTAATAAACTTACCATATTCACCCTGATAACATCTATATTAATCATTTGAATTTTAGATAAACCTGATGTTTCGCTAAAAAATGGTCAATCAATTGTTACTAATGGAAATATTGCTATTATTGAAAATTCATTATTTTCACTTGAATGTCTTGTGGACTCGAATCCAACACCTGTTGAACCAATTCAATGGTTAAAAAATGGCGCAACATTGACTGATGTTACATCGCCATCATTAGTTTTACAAACAATTAAACGTACAGATGAAGGTGAATACACTTGTATTGCTTTGAATACTATAGGCAAGGGACAAGCAAGTGTTCGTATTCGTATTCAATGTAAGTATTATAATTTTTTTATATTAGAATAATATTTTTAAAAAGTCTTCTAATTCTCAGATGGTCCCATCGTGAAACTTAAAGGTGGTGATACAATTCGAGAGAATCAACGTTTATCGTTAGAATGTATGACTGATGCTTATCCGGAAGTAGAAGAGTATCAATGGTTTAAAAATAATATATTGTTGTATCATTATAAACATTCAACATTAATTATCGATCGTGTCCAAAAACAAGATCATGGCAATTACACATGTTTAGCTAAGAATTTCTTAAGAAGTTCAGATGGATCACGAATTGAAATGTCACAAAAAGATGAGACAAGAGTTATTGTTGAATGTAAGTTAATACGAATAAAATATATTGGATAATATAGTATTTTTCTTCATTTGACATAGATGCACCTATTGTAACAAGTTTATCATTTAAAATTGCATCTGATCCAATGACAGATGTTATGTTACAATGTCAAATTGATTCATATCCAGAATCCACTATAAACTGGTAAGGAAATATTTGTACATTTTTTGAAAAAAATGATATATGATATCGTCTTTTGTTTCAGGATATTTAATGGTACTCTTATTCGAACAAATAATGGAAAATATGTCATTACGCAAAAGAAGATCAATAACATTATTCAAAGTAATTTGATCGTAAAAAATGTACAAACACCCATTGACTTCGGTCTTTATTCGTGTAATGCCTTAAATAAATTTGGTCAAAATTCTACAACAATTCAATTAAGATCAAAAGGTATGTATGTATAAGTTCATAGAAGAGTAAATGAAAATATATAAATGAACATCAAAGTATATATGTTTATTGACTAATTAATTTAACAAATATACAAAATTTCTTATGAAAATAGAAGAAGAAAAATTATCACATAATCATGATAATCTCATTGATTTGTAGCACTATCACTAAACTATGACTTGTCCATGATTAACAGCGGTACGTCATTTAATACTAGGTTATCTCATCATATAACCAGTTCACTGTCAGGATAAAAAGATAGTGATTAGAACAACATTTTACTTGACCTAGTAGTCTCTATATTCTCTCTTATTAAATAACATTGAGCAGCTGGATTTATTAACAAGTTCTATGATGTTAGAGTTGGAACTGAGTTGTAAAACACGTTGAATAAATAACAGACTCAACATGAAATCAATGATATAAGTTTGAATGTCGAGATTGTTTTTCAATGTGTCACTTCGTGTGTGGTATTATATACACTATGGTACTAATCATAGTAGACCAATATTCAATATCAATCGGCGTGTAGTGCGGTATCACTTTGTTTGATGTTCTTTTGTATGTCTTTCTCTTCATTATTATTATTATCATCATCGATAGTCTAATTCAATCATTTTTCTTTTATTTTAAATTCATCAACAATACAAAAACATTCCACCTATTCTTTACTCACAATCGGTGCCATATATACACCGCCTCTTGATATTGTGACTACTCTTTTCTTCGTTCCTTTCTCTTTTTTTTTTCTTCTCTCTATACATACGTATATACAGATCCTATTGTCTAAAACATGTTACTACCTATATATGTTTCAATGTCAAACGCGAAATATGTTGTTAATAGAGTTTAAAACAATATTTATCATCATGGAAAAATGAAACGACTTCAAACAATAAGATGATCTATTCATCAACATCATTCATTATTTTACCGCGTACAGTCAAAAACGCATGTCTTTGATCAACTAGGCAACATATCGGCAGTTTGTTTTCAACAAAATGTCAAATATAATATTCGTATCAAAATTGTTTTCAATAAGCGGAAAACTCTGACATCAACTCAATACCAGAGTTGACAATTAAGATAGCTCAAACAAACAAAACAAAATTCAGTCATTTAACTAATTTTTCTTGAAATAAGTAAATTGTTTTATTGATATCCTTCCCATTTCAGCATTGTCTTTAGCAGTTCTTTTCGCAGTTTTTGTATATCCCGATGGTTTTCAACGAAAGATTTGAAAATTTTCATCAAATAGAAACCATTCATACTTAATCAGGGAAGCCGTACACATAGATTAAACTTATTATAATTTGCATACTTCAATTGATTGAAACGAAAAATAATCGATTTCTCTCTCTCTGTCTCTTAGATGTGCCTGATGCACCAGTTCATTTAAATGTTTCAAATATTTCTTATTCATCATTTATATTGGAATGGAAGCCTGGTTTCGATGGTGGCTCATCTCAAACATTCATTGTATCACTCAATGGTCTGTTAGAAAAACAAACAAACGAAACAAAAGTCACTATAACAAGTTAGTTCAGTAATCCTTATTATCTTATCCTATAGTAAGCACTATACGCTATCTCTATTTTTTCCTAGATTTAAACCATTCAGAATTGTATATAGTTCGTGTCCGATCACAAAATACATTAGGTATTAGTAGGGAATATGCTATGATACAAGTAACAACATTACAAGTACCAATTAGACAAGAAGGTACGTAGTTGATATTTGTATTTAATATTTATGGACAATCGAAAAAAGTTTGTTATATCTACAGATCTTCCATTAATTGAACATCCTATGCTTCATATTGGTCAACGAACAATCAGTTATCAACTGAACGACAATTTGACATTGGTAGCAAATAAAGCGTTGTTATGCATCAAAGTTGAAGGGCAAAATGGTACAATTGAATGTAAAAAAATTACATCAGCCAGTGGTGTACTACGACTAGAACATGAACTGAATGGTGATCTCACACGTTTATCAGTTGCCGTGTGTCTCGAAAATTATGAAAACTATTGTGGAAAAGCATATCCAGTTGAAATAAGTAGGTGACAGATGAACTCTCAGCACATTTGAATACCATTTCAATTACTTTAATTCGTATTTTTATTTCTAGAGCGAGAAGTTTCATTCAATTGGATATTTGTTCTAATCGCATCTGTGATTGTTGTATTTGTTTTAATTTTATTTGGTTTGTGTATATTTTGTGCACTACAAAGTCGGAAGAGAAAACGTAATACTAGTCGAGATACAGGTGTGTGTTTCTCCTTGATTTTCACAAATATTTGATTTTTCTATTTTTCCTCATCTAGTAGCATCATCCATTTCATCTGCCAAACCAGTTATTGAACCATTGTCAATTGGAACTGAAAGGTATGAATAGATCGTAACATTGAAAACGGATATTATATTTTAATTATGCATTTCTAAACTAAATTCCTGACATGTTCATATAATTAGAATTGAACTTTGTTGTTAATAAACATAGAAAATCGCTAGTATATATATACATTTTGAAGTTTTAAACCACACATACACACATTTATCATCATTATTATTCTCTATTAAAATCGTTTATCTCGTATTTAGGTCTCACATCACATCATTATTGACTTTTCTTTTTCTCGTTTAGTCCAAAATATTTTACTCATATTACTCATTCACCAACACGTACTGAACAACAATATTTGAAAGCGTCTTATAGTAAAATAGCTGAAATACAAAAATTAGACAAATTTAGTCGAAAAGGTGCGTTCTGTTTTTACTTATCAATCAAAAATAGTTCAAACTTAATTGTTTCCTAGTCCGCACTAGTATAGGGACTTCAGACGTTTATGTAATGTTCAAAAGTGGTACAAGGCTCCTTTGTTGTATTTAGTATGTTAAACATTTTTATATTTATTAATTTAAGATGACAAATCGACTAATCTAGTTGTTACAACAGCAGGTGGAACAAGTTCGGGCTCTGGTAGTAGTGGTAGTTCATCTGATCCAATTTGTAATAATAATTTATCATCATTATCTGGAAGTGACCAACTAACCGTAACTGATTTCTATCCGATATCGTTAACGTCGACGTCAACCGCGGATTCATCTTATAAACCGTATTACAATCCTATAACAGTTACAACAGCCGCATCCATGATTAATGAACCACTTGGAACTTCGACGTTCGGCAATCTAACAAATTCAAATGGTTTTCAAAGTTATGGATTTCCTCTTTATACAACAGCTAATACAAATAACAATAATAACAGTCAGAGATTATCACAAGAAATTATATCAAAAAAATATGATTTAAATGATGAGAATGAAAGTGGATATTCAACACCCTCAAAGACAAAAAAAACTGTTTATGAGGTCGTTGTTTGAAATATGTATATAAGTGTCATTTTATTCGTTGTTATGTAACAGGAGTATATAATCGAGAATCATTATTAAAAAAATGTGTAAGAAATTAGATCTAAATATGTAGTATCATGATAACAGTATCTATGTATCGCTTCACGACAGGGGAAAAAACGTTAAATATCATTGTATGAGAGGAAAAATAGATCAAGGTGATAAAACTCATCAGTCTGATAGATAGTACACGATGTCATATTTCCTCAAATATTGCTCAATAGACATTGTGAATATAAAATAATTGAACATTTTTTATCTTCTTTTTGTGTGTCTATGTCACTGTTAACGTCGTCGTACTTTTTTGATTTTTCTTTTTGAGAATGTTGTTCACTCTATTCAGGTTATTTTCACTCAACACTTGTGCTCAATTTTTTATTCATTTTCGTTTTTTCGATAAATAAACAGAAAGCGTGTATCTATTAACAAAAAGTCAAGTACTCTGAAGGCAACAGAACTCGCTTACGTGATCGAAATTTCAAGTATTTAGAGTTGGATGTTAATACTTGTTTACAACTTTCTTCAAATTCAGAATGCGAATTTGAAATAGTTAATAAATTTCATTTAACCGTTTGATATTGAGATGTACTTATGAACGTGTAGATTTTACTATCTTATTCTTCCAGAGTCTTCCTCTCTTTTTACTCTAGGATAGATTTTCCCATACACCAAAGTCCTAAAAAGCAGCTTTTAGAAATCTAAAAAAGTAGATAGTCATTTCTTTGTCAAACGTGCAGATTTGACGAACAAAATCGTTTTTGTAAAATAAAATGTGATGCAACACCGTGTGAAAGGTATAAGTATTTCTGTATAAGCTCTAAAATACACTATCATATTTTCTCGTTCATAGTTCTTCATTGTAACTTACGGGCTCGGACAAAAGTGAGATATAATTCTTATTTTAGCTTAAAACATTCTTTAGTCAAATATGTCGTGTTTAACAAATTTAGTTCGAATTATACTAGACAATCTAAATTTGAATCTTATTCCATCAATAACACTGAATTAAAGCTGAATTTTTTTTATTCTAATCTTTACTAATAATGCTGTTTGATTCTTGAAAGTTTTATTCAAATCGGCTACAGTACGTAGAAAAAAACAGAGATGAGAGAAGGGAGGGCATCATCAGTCCCTTCTTTTTAAACATTGTTACAGAAATATACCCTCCCTCCATTTTTTTCATTGAACGAATGCATACCATATGCATACCACAATAATCTTTTGTAAACTTTTTATTTTTCTTAATCAAATAGTTTGAAAGATCATTAAACTGACGTAACTTGACTCGTACATCCTAGTACAAATAAAAAGTAAATACAATACTCATTGTATCCAGCCCCATTCTCTACGATGATGATATTGATTACCATCGTTCTAATTTTTTCAACTCATCCTAAAAATAAAAGATCACTTTATGATGTTGAATGTGAAATTTTTTTTCTCTAACATATCATCGATAAAACAAAAAGGTTTACTTCATATGATATAAAATCGAAGTAGTGTACGACATTTACTTTGCATATGTTCAAATAAAAAAAGATTATGAAATAGTTTAACACAAAGCATATTGATGAAGAGCCTTCACAATGCTGTTATCCTATCTGTTCTCCTTTAATATTGTATGGGATTTTTTATCAGTATTTCATATGTTTCTAATATATTATCAAATCATCTAATTGCAATTAGTTTTATGAAGCGTAATAACGATTATAGTTTAATCTGTGTTTGAATTTCGAGAATAAAGCAGAGGTAGGTAAAAGGATATTGAGAAATTGTAAGCTGTGATAAGCTCTGATTATAAATTAATGTACCATATAATTCATTCTTTTATTCTAGCAGGATGTCTAGATGAACAGAGAAGGAAAAACAATTGAATTTTTCGTTTTCTGTTTGATTTTTAATCATTAAAATTTTTTTGGTTGTGTATCCTAAAGGCAATAGAACATATACAAGAATATTTCTGAAAAACACTTGTCAATGAACTAATATCAACTCAGTTCATTTTTCTTCTAGTCTTTTACGACAGTTATGTCCGTTACAATATATGACTTTAGTGGATAGAATGTTGGAGCGAAAGTAACACCTCTGCTTCTCTCTCTCTCTCTACTACGACTACTACTGAACAATACAAAGTTTCAAATAGTCTATATTTTGGCTTTTGTTTTAAGATTATGTACGATTGAAAGATGGAGAACAAAATAGGAAATAAGTATTTGTCACTTTGAAGACCAGAAGTAGTTCAATTATACTCAACAATTGTTCCCCATATCAACGAAGCAGAAACAAAATATAACTGGAATATATTTTGTATTTAGTAAATTGGGTACTAATTTGAAGACCTTTTGAACATTATCGTCATTACAGGGTGATCCAAAAAAAAAACTTACTCCCTGTGTATTTATTGACTTTCTTGTGTACAAATATAATTGAACATTTTACCATTAGTTTATTCGAATAGAGCAAAGATTTCTGGACGAAATGAGACGTCTCCGAGCTCTCGAAGAGCTTTTCTCATGAAACAGCATTCAATTTACGGAAGGTCCCATACCACCAAAATCGGGACAATTAATGGGCAAACAAGAAAAACATGCTCTTGGGACCTTCCGTAAATTCAATGCTGTTTCATGAAAAAAGTTCTAAGAGAGCTCTGAGACGTCTCATTTTGTCCAGAAATCTTTGCTCTATTTGAATAAACTAATGGGAAAAAGTTCAATTATATTTATACACAAGAAAGTCAATAAATACACAAGGGGTAAGTTTTTTTGGGATCACCCTGTATAATACATTAATAAGAATAGGACGATGAAAATCAATGCCAAAAATTTTTGTTTGTACAACGCTAACTATAACATTTACGAATAGTCTAGAGATCAAAAATAAAACAGAGATTTGTCAATTAGAAAAGAATAAAAATTGATGAGAATATTCAGTTTGTCGTGTTTCTCTAATGGTATTATTATTAATATGCAGTTTGTATAATTAATCAAAATCAAAAAAATTATGATTTGATATATCAAGCCAACACACGATTACAAGATTTTATGTCGAATAAATAAATCAAAATCGTACGTCATTATCATGTGTACTTTAGTTGTTCTATTGCTCAAAAAAAAAAAAGAATTCGACTAAAAGCTTCATTATCAATGGGGAGATGATACCATAATGATTATGCAGTATGTTTCACAAAAGACAAAACTGACTAGAATAGATGAGATCTCTCTGATGTTTTAAAAATTGAAGTGTATTCCCAAGATGAATAAAATAAAAAGAAAGAAATCTATTCAATAATCCATATTCATTATAAATATGTCAATTTTCATTTGTTGTTGTTGTCGAGATAAATGTAATATAGCACACATATAAACATATCATTGTACTACGGTCACACGCCAAGAACTTGTAAATTTTATCTTTGATCTTAACGAAACAAACATATGGTAATGGAAGTTAATTTCAAAAAATTATTCGTGCGTCTCACTGTCACACGAACAAATATGATGAGCAGAAGCGGATTTCATTTTAATTATTTAGACTTTAATGTTCACAATATGTTTTATAAACAGTTGTCATCATCTCTATATAATGGAAAAGAAAAAGGATATGCATATTATTCTTCTGTAGATGAATAGAAATAAATGAGACTTGATTATGAAACAATCATCTGTTATACAAGATTTTATCTTAAATAAAAATTTTTGTTCACCGTCAACCTTTTTAATATTAATTAGTGTGACTGACGAACGTCCAACAGAAGAACTACTATCTATGACAGATATTCAGGTTATATGAGCTAAATTTAATAGCATTCACTTTCTTACAAGTCTTTAATAATGGCCGTGCTTTTCTTTCTATAATAATAATGGAATCAAGTTTCTGTTCGTGATTAAAAAGAAAATCTTTGAAAAAACAAACATTTACAAGTCTGTTCTTCTGCGTATATAGTCGTCACTGCTTAAGCGTCAGTTATCTCGTCATTAACATTCTATGATGGTCTGCAATGTATCTGTCTATAAGACCATTTACATGTATTCACGTGTCCTTTCAAGTTTATTAAATTGGTGTTACCTATCCTTGAAAAGTATTGTTGAATGCATAACATTATGAAACAGAATTATAGGCTCAGTTAACAATAAGAGATCAGTGTGTTTCAACAGTGCAACATTGGGATCAATAAAATGAATCTTTCCACACAGAAACGGAATCTTTTAAAGATTCTAGAGAGATATGCGGAACTAATATTGAAAAAAACAACTCTGCGAAAACTAAAACTTTCACTCAAAATGAGTAATTTTTGATGAAAACGCTTACCAAAAGATTATCATTAAGTTTTGATACAATACATCTTCAGTCATCAATTGTCGTTCTTGAATACGTTGACGAATTTTTGTTGTGATTCTGTCGGTAATCCGTGACATTGTATTAAAGCTAATGTTGTTGTTGACATACAATTTCTAATTTGATTCAAGTGAGTTTCAAATAACGTTGTGCATGTAACATTGGACTTTATTCTTCACTATTACCATTGCCATATAATTGTTGACGCACAAACGATAGTAAATAATGTGTTAAATTATCATGTTATAAGAAATAAATAATAACATCGACCCATTTCATCAAATGAACCATCTTGACGCTGCTTGTTTTCTAAACCTAAACAGCTTCGCTAGGCATTGTCATACCGTAGAATAGTCAGAGTTATCACAATTTATATAAATGAATTAAAAGTGTGTCGAGGTCGTTTAAATCGGAGACAAAATGAAACATCATAAAAAAAATTCTTTTTGCAGCTTTAATAATCGTTTATTACAGTCAAACAAAAGCTAAAGCAGTGGGAGAAAATTTGAAAATTTTTCATTTACAATTATTTCTTTATTTTTTTAAATAAATGAATCATATTGATAAAAATTCTCTTTTAAAATTTCGTAGCAACATAATGTCATCGACCGTTCCTAAATTCTAAAAATGGGTGTCTTGCATCCGATAAAATACAGTTTAAAATAACTGTCGCTAGCGATCGACCTCAATGTTGTGCCGACGATATATCTTTTTTAGACAAAGCCTTGGCCCTACCCTGTGACTTCGAAGCCCCGCCCTACTCTACCCTGTGCTCTAGCCCTACGATAAGGGCGCCCTGCACATCTCTAATTGTGGAAATTTCTCGGAATTGAATTTTTTAATTTTTTTACCACGCCTATCTAATTCTTCGATGTATTTATGAACATGAGTACTTTAACAGTTAAAAATAGGATAAAAATCGTTTCTAGATCATATTTCAAGGTCTAATTGTCTTTGAATATGAACATAATAACATGTATACATTTACAAACGTCTTCAAAAACTGAGCAAGGAAATTTTATACCTATCATCTGGCAAAAAAAAGAAAGTTAAATTGCCTGAAACAAAAAATACTTTACTTTCATAAATGTAAAAAAATAATTAATTAAAGTTTGAAAATGATTGATCATAACGGGTATTACAGAAAGAATGGCCTAGTTTTTATTTTCAGTTTTTCTCCTCTCCCTTTGAACTCACAGAACTCATCTTATTACCAAAAGATTCCCCGTTCATTTCTCTACAAAATGGTGTATAGAAGATGATCCTAAAGTTGGAGATGCTGTCTTAATTGAACAAACATCGAAACATCCGAAAAACTTTAAAACTTTAAACTTTTTCGGACGATAATTTTGAAGTTTGAACTCCATTTTGAACGTGATTGGAAGAAGATAGCACATAATTTCTTAGAACGTTTAGATGTCCTCTTTCAGATGACGCAAGACTCATTTTCTTCTGATCTGTCATGTGGTAAAAATGACTAGTTAATAACTGGCAGCCATTACTGAACAAAATGCCCTAGTTTCAATATCTCCATTATTCAGAAAAGTTACATCAAGCGTTTCGCAAGTGAGTCAAGTAGACCAAACATTTGTCTTCAAAATGACGCAAGAATGAGCCTGATTGGTTCTGTTTTGTCTGAGCAATATTCATTTTACAAATAGCCCCAAAATGCTGGTTGAAAAAGCTGAAAAAACGGTCATAGGGCTTTTGCAAAAATCACTACTGAAAACACAGAAATAACGATAGAAAACCCGCATTATCGTTAGAGAGTTTTGAGGGCTACATTTTGGCCTACTTGCTCTAGACACAACGCATACGTTCAACCTCATACTGATGAAGTACATTTTTTGTGTTAAAATTTTTAAGTTTTCGGACATTTCGATGTTTGTTCAATTAAGACAGCATCTCCAACTTTAGGATCATCTTCTATACACCATTTTGTAGAGAAATGAACGGGGAACCTTTTGGTAATAAGATGAGCTCTGTGAGTTCAAAGGAAGAGGAGGGAAACTAAAGAAAAAGAAAAACAGCCGTTACAAGAAATTCAGTTAAAAACAAAATTTTGTTTAAAGAGAAACATAATATCGGTCAAGATGATGACGCTAATGTGGTCGTCAGATCTCTTTCTTTCTGATCTGGTACTTCCATACAGGTCTGCCCATTTTATAAACCCACCCTCACATTAGAAGCCTCACATTAGCACCCTCACATAGAAGAAGTTCGACTCCATAACAGAAACCCAGTCTGGCAAGAAATTTTTTGAAAATTGCCCGTGCCCCCATAGGGTACTTTTTGAGAAAATTTTGCCTTCCTTGCGGGACATAATAGAAGCCCACTGGGCTTCTGAGAAGATTTGACTATATGCAATCGATACTCCTACTAAAGGTATATAAAGACCCCTGTCGCTCTATGGAAAAATTATTCTGAACGCGGTTTTTCCTCGGCCATAAGTTCTGGACTGAAGCGTTTTTAGGGATGCCAGAATAGCGAAATATGATCTTACCTAATACTATCAAGCCTTCTCATCCTGTCAGCTGGAAAGACCATACAAAGTTGTATATTTGTTTCCGCAAATGAGATTTTCAAGGTAAGCGTAGCCGTGAAACCTACTTTGGCCCTTCCTGGCCTTCTCCTTCGAAAACTACACGTCAGTTCTTCTGAAATTATTTTTTCTATAGTAGCACAAGAGATGGACGAACTAGAATATTCTATAGATTTATCGTGTGGACGAACTAGGATGGGCTATAGATTTATCAAGTTTTAAGTGTAGAAATACAATTGATTTTCCTACAGAAATCATTTTTCTTGTCTCTTATCGGCAGAAACACAACCTGGTGAAAGTAAGTGAATTTTGTTTATGTTTGTAGTACTAAACGACTGTAGTTATGTTAGTTTGAAATACCAGAAACCTCATTTCTAATACTTCTTCTAATTGTTCAAGCTCTTTATGAAATTTTATTTCTGTTCTAGTTAGCAACTAGAATGGATACTTGTACTTTCAAAAAATACTTTGAAAAAATACGCGCCATTTGTTCTTATGGTGAAATATAATTTAATTCTTTGCTTTGTTCTTATAATTATAAATAAAAATAGAAAGACATTTAAATGCTGAGAAAAGATGTTTAGCATAGGCTATCTATCATGGTCGTTGAATGTTCGACTATTTTTAGAGTTAAATAGGAATACTGAAATATAGAGACTAATAATTTTTTTCGTCACAATAACTGATTTTTTAGATTAAGGTGATTTGAAAGTATAAATTCATACTAGCGTAAGTACATGTTAATGAAAGAATGAAACGTTCTCTCTCATTCTTCTTCGAATTTCGTTTTCAATTTATTTTTCTTAAATCTATCTTTTAAAGCAACCAAAATCAAAACGAACGTGACGTGGTCTAGATTCGGCGCTATAACCTACCCAAATAGAAGTAAAATGTTTTTTGGACTTGGAAACTTTTCGTGTATTTATAATAGTTTATTGTTCGGCGCCATTTGTTCTTGAGACGAAATGTCAAATAAATATATCTGTATTGATTTGTTTTACTTAATATATATAAATATATACATATATATCATCATCATTAGATCTTGCTCTGGCCCGCCAAGACTGAGGGCGCAGATAAGTCCAACGTCGCTTATACCAAGAATACAGAAGAATTAGATGTTTCGTCGTAATAACACGACGTTGGAGTATCTTCTCTAGGCGCTGTTTTACTCAGGCGGTCGCCAGCGATCCGAAACCTCCGTTAGTTAAGTTCGCATCGGAGGATCCTACGAACGTAATGTGATTACGTTGATGGATTATTGAGTTTTTCGCTTGTGCATTAAATGGATAAGTGTGCTGTGTGGACTGTTTATTTCCACTGTTTTCTATGTCACTGGGCTCTAACACCAACTTTGACTAAACGACTAGTTAGCTTCGAGAACAGATGCTTACGTCATATTTTGGGCATCTACTGGACAGATCGTGTCACCAATGACGAGATTCGACGTCTTTCTGGACTACCTTCTATTGCGATCACACTCCGTAAACGAGTGGATAATCTGCCGACATTAGAGATTGATCAATGCATGTTCTTTTTTTAAACATAAGTCCAGATTCGGCGCCGTAAGCTATACAAGAAGAAGTAAAATGTTTTGGGGACTTGGAAACTTTTCGTGCATTTATAAGAGTTGATTGTCCGGCGCCATTTGTTTGTGAGAATATCAAATAAATATATCTGTATTGATTCGATTTACTCAATATATATAAATATATATATATATATATTGAGTAAATCACAGCAAAAATGCAGTACTTACAGCCTACTGGTAGGATCTGCTCGGAGCGGTAGTTTCCGTCAGAGACAGAGTCTGTCGACATCGCAACTTGTGCGCAGCGCAATTGCATTCTAGTTTTATTTTCTTCTTTCTGTCGCCCCCATTTTCTTGGCAAAATGAGCACCTCGTGATCTAGAGAACTGTGCAAGTTAGAAAAGTTCTGGAAAAGGTACGATATTCTCCCGACTTTGGTGATCGATCAATGCACATTTTTCTCGTAAATAAAGGTCCAGATTCGATGCCATATGCACCACAAGTGAAAGAAAAATGTATTTTGGATCTTGAAAGTTTTCGTACATTCAGTTGTCCGGCACCAATGTTTTTTCGAGAGAAATTTAATGTCGAAGAAAACGTGACTTTGTTAAGAATAGAATTTTAATACACGAGAAGAAAAATAGATCTTTTAAAAAAAACAAGATTGGGTAATTTAAAATTGAATAGATACTGAAGAAGCGATATTAATTCATTGATAATTGAAACCATTTAGAATAATATCATTAAGAAAGCAGAAGAAACAACAACACTTATTTCAGAAATTTATACCTACTGCTTTTAGGTAGCTGTCACTAGAAGAAAGAAAAAGTTTCTCTATACTTAGACATTTTTCCAAAACATTTCCAAACGCAAAATTTCCAGACGCAAATTGGAACAGTATCGTTCGAATGCGGCTGTCTGCTTAATGATAATAAATTCAGCGTTAATTAGACAGTCCCATTTATATCGTAATGATGTGAGTTATCGCACAGCAGCTATGAATCATCAGATAAAAAAGTATCACCCAGATTCGTCTCTCAATACGAAAATTAAACAAAGATCTAAAGCAGCCGTCATTTGAGCTCGTTTAAACAATAAGTTTGATTCAGCTGCGCTAAGAAAAATCTGGCTGCAAGAGAGTAATTTAAATCATGAAACCAAGATTTTCCAAAAACGTTCTAAGAATTATTCCCAATTTTCTTTGATGTTCAGTCAATACAATAATGTACATGTAATGCCATTTTGTACAAGTATGCCATGTTAGACAAGAAAAAAATAGAAGTTCTAAGAACAAAAGTTAATGAAATGAAGGATAAAATGGAAAGGATAAAAATGGAAGAAAGTTTAGGTTCATTTTATGTTAAACAGTATGAAATGTTGCAAGAGAAGGACCAGACTATGTATGTTCAGTGTGTAATCGTTGCATGTTTCTTAATCAAATAGATCGATGTGATCGATCTGCTTTCTTGACTGAATTTTTATCAGATGAAAAACGGGGAGAATTAGAAAAGTGTTTTTTAGTAAAATCAATTTCAGTCATTAATGAATGGATTTGTCGTGAGTATGCTCGTCAAATTAGACGGAAAGAAGTTCCGCCTAGACCTCTAGCAAAGGGTTTAGAAGTTTGCGCTATCCCTGATGAATTAAAAAGACTTAATTATCTTGAGAAATTGTTAGTTGCTATGGTAATTCCTTTCATGTATATCGTTGATCTATTACCTTACAAGCAACGTGGTACTCATGGTCCACTTCAGTGTATGCCTGCTAATGTTCATGAAACAGTAACAGCTCTTCCTCGTTCGGTTGATAAATCAGTGATAATTCCGCTTGAATTAAAAAGAAGAATTCAGTACATAGCTGTATGGAAAAAAACATTTATTAATCCAGCGCATACTAGAGACGCTTTAGAATGTCTTAAAAATATGAATGACAATTATAAAGAGATAGAAATTAATGAAGTCGATGATAATTATCTTGCAAATCATCCAGTTATAATGGCTAGTGCTGATAACGGTGAGAGTGAAACGATAGATGATAGAACTGAAAGTGCAGTTAACGATGTTGTTGACGAAGCAATGCAGACAGATAATAACAATGATTATAATGTTGTTGACACACTAACTGTAGCCGATGATGTTGGTGAAAGAAACGATGATGATGATAGTGTTCAAGAAAATGCTGCTGATGGTGAGGCAGGAGCTTTAGAAAGTGGTAGTGACAATAATTCAGATAGTGAAATAGGAGTAGAAGATACAGACGATCCTCGAAGTAAATTTAATTTTAGTACACATTCATGTTTACAATCTACGAATTTAGAAAATTATGTTTTAGATCAAAAGATAGTTAGTCTAGCGCCAGCAGAACAGAATAAACCGTTGTCTTTGTTGAAAGATCTTATTGTTGAGGCTTTAGCATTTCCCCATATCTTTCCAGATGGTCAAGGTACATGTAACAATCCGCGAGAGAAAAGTCTATCATATTCTTTATATTATAATACGCGACTTTTCAGTGCTGATCCACGTTTCGCAGAGGATGTTACATATGTTTTTTTTCTTCAATATCTTAACGATTTAAAAAAAGCGTACTCGAGTGTATCTATTGCTTTAAGAAAATAATTTCCCGACACAGATCGTATCACTGTTGGACAAGTAAGAAATGATGAAAGTCTGAGACACTTGATGAGAAATGATATGGTATTAAGACATTTACAGCATGTAAGAGGAAGTCCGCAGTACTGGCAACATGTCATGAAAGATCTTTTTGGCTACATAAGACAGTTAAACACGCCTACGTTTTTTGTCACTCTTTCATGTACTGATATGCTTTGGAAAGATTATCTTGATGCACTAGCTAGATATAGTACGCTAGGTGTAGAAGATGAATATACTCACGCAGAAAAAGAAAACTTAATTTGACATAATCCTGTTCTCGCCGCCAGACTATTTGATCACCGTCTGAGAGCATTTTTACGCATGCTTATTTTCAATGGTACTACACTAGGAGATGTTCAAGATCCTTTTGTGCGTCTTGAAGCCCAAATGAGAGGTTCAATCCCTAGTCGAGACTCCCGGCAAAACTCCAACGGGAGTCCCAAGTTTATGAAAAACTCCAGCAGGAATCGTAAGGAGTCCTGATGACTCTCACAGGAACTTTCTAAAGTGAAAAGTCCAACATGGAGTCATGAGGAGTCCCAAAAAAATTCTTGCAGGAGTCCTGTTAGAGAAAGTCATGCATGGAGTCATGAGGAATTCAAAAAACATTCCTGCAGGAGTCCTGTTGGAGAAAGTCATGCATGGACTCCTACAGAACTCCTGTGCAATCCCCGAGGAGTCCCTGCCAACTCCCCATTCACCGTTTGTTTTGTAGATAGGCAATATATAAATATAATGTAGTTCTATAATAAAATTTTAAAAGTTTTCTTCTAGTAAATCAACATTAATGTGTCAACCTTCGATGGGTGATATGTGCTCCAGCGGTACCAGTGATAGTATCTAGCACTTAATTACTAATTAGTTACATGAAATTAAGAAGATGGATCAATAGACCCACAGGGAGTCCCCAGGGACTCTCTTGAAAATCCCCGAGAACTCCCCAGGGACTTCCTTAAGAATCCCATAAAACTCCTGTGGGAGTCTTGAGGAATCCCTCTTGAATCCCTTAAAAATCCTCCATGACTCCACAGAGAATCCTGCCGGGCCCCCGTGACAGGACTCCTGCTGACTCCTGTAGGACTTTTTTTCCAGGACTCCTGCGGGAGATTAATCAGGAGTCTCGACTAGGGATGCATGCGCATATGCCACTTTGGATTAAAAATGCACCTCGTTATCGTGATTCAGAAATAGATGAAAAAACTAGACAAAAAATTTTGTAAAACAATGTTTGGATTTTCAATTATAGTATAATCTTCACACACTATACCGCTCTTTCTTATACCTTTTAAGACATCATTGTGAATCGAATGACAAATTTTTTCATCCTTTCTAATTTTCTTGTGATCTGTTCATCACAATAAAATTTCTCTTCAAAGACATCAATCAGACTTAATTTTATATCATCATCACTGGTTGGTGAAATTCTTGAAAGCTGTATACAACCAGTGGTCCGAACAACTAATTCATTAACAGTTGCACCTTGAATTTTATCAACTGTTGCTGTCCAATGTAGTTGAAATATCACCGGACGATAAACATTTACCTTCAAAAAGCAATTTAACATGTAGTACGACAGACAATAAGAAACTCAAACCCAAGATAAATGAATCAAATCATCTTATAAAAGTACGAATGCATGTTCAGACCATCAAATGCATTTGTTATTGATAACGGCATAGATTGGAGAAAGAGACGTGTGAAAGAATTTATTTATTCAATTATGAACAAGTCGATAAATAGACATGATGACCTAGATTATTCTTGGATGCCCTTGTTGCAGAAAAATATTGATCATATAAAAAGGAAGATTGAATTTAAACGATCAAAGAGACAGTTAAGAAATTATGAGTAATGGGACGGTAAAACGTCCTGTTATCCGTCCGTTTTAATATACTTCAAGCTGGAGGGTTCGGCTTCGTTTTATTTTAAACTAGACACCTAACTACATGGACTGATCGGCTCCGATTTTTTAATTAAGCCTTTATTGGTTTTCCAGGCAACCAACAACCTCCAAAACCCGAAAAATCCTTCCGGATTTTCTAAAAAGCCTCAGTTTGACAAAAAACTAAGACCTAATTCAAAAACGCCGGTCAGTCGATGTAGTTTCTTTTCCTCCTTTCCTCCTTAACTGTCTCTTTGATCGTTTAAATTCAATCTTCCTTTTTATATGATCAATATTTTTCTGCAACAAGGGCATCCAAGAATAATCTAGGTCATCATGTCTATTTATCGACTTGTTCATAATTGAATAAATAAATTCTTTCACACGTCTCTTTCTCCAATCTATGCCGTTATCAATAACAATTGCATTTGATGGTCTGAACATGCATTCGTACTTTTATAAGATGATTTGATTCATTTATCTTGCGTTTGAGTTTCTTATTGTCTGTCGTACTACATGTTAAATTGCTTTTTGAAGGTAAATGTTTATCGTCCGGTGATATTTCTATATTTAACAACCTCATTTCGCTTAATGAAGTACTACATTAGCTTACAAAAGAGGGTTACTGCAAAGACCAGAGAAAATGGAACACTTTTCTCCCAATTTGAAAGCTTTCCTCAATCTAACCTAAAAACACTAAAGACCTCTTTTTGGACTCATCAAATTATTTTCCTTGAGATCTACACTAGTTGTAAACTCGTATTTTAACGGTCTGGAGTTTCCAAACTGGAAAGAGAAACGTGGTGTACGCTTAGACATTTCCTTGAAGTCCAGAATCGACTAGTTGCGATTTTGTGGTTTTTGGAATAGCCAGAGCTTTTTCTCTGAATTGAATTGAAATTTTATTTTACACAAAGGTGGGATATCACAAAAAAGCACCAAAAGGACTTGTGGCATCCGGAGACACCTCATGATAACCTAAACTAAAAAGTTTCTTGAGGTAGGTAAAAAGTTCCTCTTGAGGTTGGTGATTCATTGATGGGAGAACAGTACGTTATTCATGTTTTTTTGTGAATTAGATATGAGCTAAAAAAACCAGATAATAATGGAGTTAATTGTTTTTGTTCATATGAATAATACTGAATGACACGATAACCAAACAATCAATTTTGTGTCGATAAATCAATAATTTTTTATACTGATGATATTGGTGTATTGTTGTCGTTGTTTGTACAGTATTATTCTGAACAAAAGTGGTGTGAGTTCCCAGAACATATTCGGGGTAAATGATTGTAAATAATCTAACTTTTTGTTTATATGATCGAAATTTTGATATGCTGCGTCGAATGTTTGCCGTAGCAAACAAACTGATGACATTATAGTTCCAGCATCAACTAAATTGTTATTTTCCTATAAATACGATTGTTGTTGTAGAAATTTACTTGAAATTGACAGAACACAACTGTTGTCATTCATTTTTTGTTGTTTTATTAGAATTAAAGCATATTTGTTAATAGGATTGAATATAACGTATGTTCCAAATCGTTTTGATCCTGTAACAACTTTATTTTATTTCCTAATTTGTTTTCTATCTCCTCTTTAACCGTTGCCGTGTTAAATATATTATCTGTTATAGATTCTTTTTTATTTATTTTTATTTTTAGATATTGTTCTTTGATTTCAATCATTGACAAGGTTCTGTTATCTAATTCTTGTAAAATCCAAAGACATAATTGATCCATCGACGTTTGGTTGTCCGACGTGCCATTGTCATTATCATTTTCTACAAGCATCGTTACTGTTCTACAACGAAGATCATATTCATTTATCGACGGGGATGGGAAAAACACACTGCTTTTCGGACTCTGAAGCGAAAAACAAAATAGCTCTTTACGAAATGATGAAGTACCTTTATTTTTCAAAAAATTTTCAAAATTGTATAATTTTACCATGGGGATTTTTCTGCGTCAATTTGTTTGAAAATTTTTCTTAACTTCTTGGCGGTATCCCTTGCTAAAAATAGAAAATTTTCCAGGTTATCAAGTGTGCTGAATACAAAAAAGCACTTTTCTTTAACTCTAAACAAACTTTAATTATCGGTGATATGAAAACGGAAGTACTTTTTTGTCAATGGTGGGTGGCAAAACAAAAATTAATAAAGAAAAAATTAATAAAAAAGATTATATACTCTTGTTTTAGAATAGGATTAAATCTCATGACAAAGTTGTTCACGAAATTTTTATTATCAAATTGTTTAAGTTAGGAATGCCGTTAAACCTGTTAAAGGCAGTCTGGAACTGGCCACGAGGCAGACAAGCCAAAATTATTTTTGAGAAATATGGCTTAAATTTTTTTGTGATCGAAATAGGTTTACCCAAGGTTAAGAGACGCACTATTTACTTGTCAATGGCTGGTTATAAGTTAGAGCAAGTCGTAACTTTTATCTAGGTTGCAGTTGGTCAGATAAACTGTCCTTAAAACCGACTCTAAACGACGCAGTAGAAAAAATTCAAAAATCTTTGGTTAAATTAAAGTGGATATCAAAATGTAAACAAGGTTCAAATAAGTTAAGACGGCAGGATTTTTTCGCGTATTCATTTCCGTTTTTGTTCTAACTTATAACCAGCCATTGACAAGAAAATAGTGGGTCTCTTAATTTGAGAATGAAATATCTGAAAAACAGTTTTACTATAATTAATCGATTGTTCATGGTCAATCGAATGCTGAAGAATCCTGTTGCATACTCTCTGACCCCCTTCCTCTTACTTTCAGAGTCACTAGCTCTGAAGCTAGATTTTTAAGTTCAATAATTTTTTGACAAAGAATTATTGCATGGTAGTGAACATCAGGTCCAAGAATTAGATTTCAGAACAGACTAATTAACTGCATAATTAACAGCTAATTGTGGAAAAACTGTCAGAGTTTCTGTTCATTAGGATAAAGTTTTTGTCTAAGCATAATAAATTGTTCGAACATTCAGAATAAAAGTATTCTGAGATATCGGTAGAGTTCAGTTTAACAAATAGACATGCATATTTAAAATAAATTTCAGAAGACAGACAAATAATCTAAAATACATCCAAGAGCTCATAACCGTGAATATTAACTAGATACATAATTATAATGTTTGACCGGTGATACTAACACAACTTAAATATTTTGTAAAATGTAATTTAATTAATAATAACCCTGTTGGGTATTCGTTATTCGAACACAAATTCACAAACTTTTATTATCGTCAATTTACCGGGTAAATGTCTTTAAAAAACTGAATGTACGAAAAATTACAAAAAAACAAAACAAATTTGTACGTAGCTGACTAGAGAAAATAATCAATTAATCATCTACGAGGTAATTATAAATAGAATAACGGTGGTGATTTGCATATCAAAACAAAGAAAAAGAACCAGAGAGATATAAATTATTCAAAACGCACACATTTTTTTCAAAAAACAGCTTAGTTTACACTACAAAATTAGACATTATTCGAATGTCGCGATCTCGAATCTAAATCTTGTTTATATTGCATTACTAAACGTCCTAAATAAACATTTCGTTCACGTAAATAACGTATCATATCGGCTTGTTTTTCAAGTACACTTTCTGTGTATGTTTCATCTCGAAAACCAATTTCGGATGCCGATGTTTGTGTGGTGATAAAACTTGCAGATAAATCTTCTTGTGTGGCATCGGGACGAGCACGTTGACTATTGAACTTGATTGTAATAACTAGAAACAATAATGAGAAGAGTAAAAAAAGTATTCGCCAGAAAGATCCTTGCATAGAACAAAGTCATCTTTACATGGTGTAAACATGACAACTCTTTCTATTCAAAAACAATGTTGTCTGTTGTTTTAATAGCATATCTAAATACCATACTAGAGCAATTATTGTCAGAATAACTTTGATTGTGCTAAGAATTTGTAAAAAATACCACGGTCTTAATTTTAATGGTGTACATGTATCATCGTTACAATAATCTTCGAGTAATTTGATTAGTGCACACATTCGAATTTGACTCTATATATCGATTAAACACTTTTATCTACTTTACAAAGTAAGAAGGAGATAAGGGAACACGGTGCAAATCTGCAGCTCTGCTCTGTAAACACAGGGTGTAAAGTGTGTATGTTTTACACTCTATGACTTTCTGAAGTGTTTCATATTATAGAAAAGATGAGAAGCTGTTGCCACACTTATACAGCACACTCTGAAGGCCACTTACTGACTTATTTCTGATCCATTTTTCTCAAGAAAAAAAGTCACTATTAGTGTCTGTGAGTGTTAAAACACCCCTGTTGAAGCAGCTAAGCCGTCGGATTTGCTCAACTTTTAGTCAATGGGCTTTATTCAACATAATCTAGTACGGTATGATAATGACTAACAAAGCTGTTTAGATTTTTCTGCTTTATAGAACCACTCTGAGATTCTCTTCCTAGTCTAAAGACCATTGGTTTTATTAAGAGATGAAGACAAGTTACACCGAAATTCTACAGTAAAAAAAGTATGTACTTCGCCATTTTTGCATTCTGTATAGCAAGAAATGTATTTCTTTCTTCTAAAACATGATTTCCAAACAGGGTTGCCAACCGCAGTGCTAGTATCAATACGTTTTTCTGAAAAAAAATCAGAAAACGCATTGATACTAGCGCTACGGTTGACAACCCTGTTTCCAAACGACTAAATTTTAATTTGCTGACTAGCTAAACAAGTGTAAACATGACAATTCTTTCTATTCAAAAACAATGTTGTCTGTTGTTTTAATAGCATACCTAAATACCATATTAGAGCAATCATTGTCAAAATAACTTCGATTGTGCTAAGAATTTGTAAAAAATACCACGGTTTTAATTTTAATGGTGTACATGTTTCATCGTTACAATAATCTTCGAGTAATTTGATCAGTGCAACGAGAATCGCATTTCCTGAAGAAAATCAAACTCAACACTCTGATAAAGGCTACAGAAGATTTAAGTTTTTTTTCTTTTGATATTACCAGCTGAAATAACAAACAGCGGTGCTCTTCTTAAATTGCGAGTTTTATGATAAAATTCTAAATAACCGTTACGCCTTGAGATATCTTGTTGGTAATGATAGAATCTAAATAAAATTAAAATAAAAGATATTGACCATAATTTCTTAAATCCATGTACCTGTCGAAAGCTAGATTGAATAGCCAACTTCCTGAATGAATGTAGAGACAAAAGTCGTAACCGTGTAAGACACATATATTTTTTGGATTGCACAAAATTGGTAAAATGATTATAGCTGCTTCAAAAACTATCTAAGAAAAATAAAATAAAAATATCTCACTCACTGTCGTGTTATTACACTAAATATATAAATCAACTCACTATAAGACAAATGTGCAAAATAATAACGCCAGTTGTTCGAATTTGACGATATGTTTGTTCGACATTGTCAATTAACGGTGTATGCTCACTTACATCTTCAGTTGATATTAAATTGTCATCAAAAGCGATGCCCTAGACAAAAAAGAGAAATTATTTTCTGTCATCTATTGATACACATAATACTTACACCTCTATTACTATTATTCCTGTTTAAACTAACCATATTTTATGAAACCATAGTTTTATAATTCTTTTAATAAACAAAACTTCTGTTATCTAAATAATTCTATATGAATAAACATATTTTCAGTTTTCGGTTATAAACTGACATTAGTGAGAAGAAAGTGGGTGAACTCTATAGCTAATATTCAAAGAACGAACATTGGATAACCTCTTTTCATTACTACTACATTACAAATAAAAAAGTAACACCAAATAATTGTAGAAAAAACAAAAATGGGAAAATATTCGATTAAACAGTCATATTTCTAATCAGCGATTTTATTTCTTTCCATTATGATTGACTTTGTTTGGATTTTTTCTCATTGTTTAGAGACTATGTATACGATTAGAAATGTTAATTTTACGCATTTCTCTCTAATAAAAACAGAGATAAATTTGTTTTTGTTTGATGTTCACTGGATTATATGGGATGCATAAGAACAAACAATTAATTCTATTTCATTATTTCACTCTGCTTTGCGTCAATTCAACTTTATACAATAACTGAGATTCAAATATGATGCGACAACAAAACACGAATTACACAGATCATTGAATAATAATTTTTCTCGACTATCAATGATATTAAATGTTTCTACAAGTAAAGAGATTAATAATTCATATTACTCTTTTATTATCAAATGTACTTGCAGATAGGTAGAACTCTGTAAAAGCTATCTAAATAAACAGGTAGATCACGTAAAAGCACTATACTTTCGTCATACTCAATAGTTATGAAGCCACGTATTGATGATATCATGAAGAATAAAAATGACATTTGTATATATATATATATATATATATATATATATATATGTTTTAATTATTAGACAATTGTTGTAAAGAAAGAGAAAAATAAAGAGAGAACAAAATTTATAAAATACAAACTAGATCAAAGTTTAGTTTATAGACAATACAACACAGACGTTTTTTTGTTTTTTTTTTGCTTTTTTTTAAATTTGCATTTATGAAAAAATAGACAAACAAAAACAGTGAGTTTGATTTATGGTGCATATGTGAAACGTACAAATAAGAGCAAAAAAGTTCTTACTTGTCAAAATATGAAACGAATGAGATCATGTTTTCTTTCTCTTTAATATAAGGTGAAAAAGATTTTGTGTAAGTTTTTCTCCTATATGAAAACTACTTTTCTTGTAACAATATGACATTTCATCAATAGTTCGAGAGAGAAAAAAAGATCACAACGAAAAATATGTCGAATAAAGTAAGACTAACAAAATTTAAGAAAAAGAAGCATGTATTATTATTGAAAAAATCTTCTCACTGTTTTCAGATCAACGAGATTAATTAGAGTAAAAGCCGTGAAATGCAAGTAATTTGTGAGGTTGGACAAAATTACTACTGAAAATCATATATTTGCTGTAAGAGAAAGTCATCTAAAAACAGCAAAATGTTTTTTAATACCCTTTATAGATTCGTTTGTCAAAAGAAAAAAACATATAAGATCAGAAATTGCTTTCAGCCTAATAAGTAGTAAAATAGTATAAAAAACCAAATAATGTATAGACAGATGATTGGAATAATATCAAAAAAAATTTTGTTCAAGTGAAAGAAAAGAGTAAAACAGAGAACCCATTTGAATTGTTTCATTATCGCAAATGTATGGATATTTTTTTTCTTTAAAGAAATGGATTCGTTGAGTTTGTGCGTGGTTTTAAATGAATTTGTTGCTGCGAAGATTGTTGCTGTGTAATATTCTAAAAATGAGAAGAAAATATGTATAATCAATACATGCAACAAATTCTTTAAAGATACGTCCTACCAGAAAAGGATTTGGTTGTCCGTTTGTAAATGGGAGAGGTCCTGAAAAGAAGCAACAATTTACGGTTAATTTGATCCATTCAGTTCAATTATTAGATTATAAGAGACGTAAATTCGAAATTTATTTGCTACCTTGATTAACTGATGCCATAAATGGGATGCCCATTTGAGCTTGTTTTGGTGATATTTGAGTTTGAAATGGGTTAGCACCGAAAGATTGATTATTGGCAAAAGAAGTTGGAGTTGGATTCGAAAAATAATTCACATTTGTATTAAATGGAGTAGTGCTGGTCTGTGTTTGGACATTTGGCATATAGGATGAAATGGGCATTTGAAATGCTGTTGAAGTTGGTTGAGACATATGAAAATTTGTTTGACCAGGCAAGCTGGCAAACATGGAATTGCTAGCTGGTATTGAAGATGCTACTGTTGAATAGGCCGAAATATTTGGTATGGATGCTCGTTGACCTAAAGTATAAAAATACAGAGGACATAATGGTTTATTTTGGAAAAAATTAGAAAGTTGCATATACCTCCGCCAAATGA